TTGATCATATCACTATAATCACCCACTCAGATGAATTCTTTGACTGCCCCAACATACCCAGGTTTTGACCCCCTCTAAGGATCTCACTGATTGGCATATCAAAGACAGTTCAATCCAACACCTAATGCAGTACCATAATCTAGTCTACGGGTCAGATGTAACATTCCAGTTTTGTCCATCTATCTCCAAGGTCTAGGGCAATACTAGAATTTGGTCTGGTTTAATGTTTCAAGAAAACCCACACTGCATGTGCCTCAGGTCTCACCCTAGAAGCTAAAACAAGCCACCCCAACCCACTTGGTAGCACATCAGTGTCAGCCTTGACAGGATAAATCTCCCTAGATCCATCCAACAGCTATGAAGATTCTAAACTAACATGAGTCTCATAAGTGTCCAATTTAGGGTATTACACAGAAACACACCAATATAACATGAATCAAATGTGTACTTTATTCATTTGCAATAAATATCAAAAGATACATCAATCTGATTGGAGCTAAGGGCATAGAACGTCTAACACATACATGATTTAAAACTTGAAACTTTGGATCATAAAGGATGGGTCATCTTTGAATCAAGTGGGTCAATCTGAAATTGGCATATTTATTAATCATATTAAATTGGTAGACAAATATATGATTAAGGTAAACCCAAATTCACTAACTTTACATCATGTTCAAAAAATGTTCAGGTATCATATCAAATAATATTACCAGCCCTACTCAAATCCCATCGTCTAGCTTAATAGATATAAACTCTTAATTAATGAATCCCGCTTGATAATAATAACTTGATAAATAATCCATGACCTACAAGGAACTTCATTTAAGACAATTGACTGATTCATTTACCGGGTGATTGATATTTTTCCTTGCATTGCTAATGAGTCCTTGTTTTAATTTATTTTGGACCATCTAAGAATCGATCACGTCTAATCATTGATGCAAACCTTGCTCAGAATTGCTTGCAAAGAGTAGAGATGTGGACAACCAAAGAGAGAATATAATCGATATGTGGACTTTGACCGAGTGATCTATATAGATAGATAGATAGATAGATAGATAGATAGATATAGATAGATAGAGAAAGAGAAAGACTACCTGCAAAGCTAAAAGAACATTACCATTAGGCTTGACACAATGACGGTTCTTAGTGAATTCATCACGAGCCTTTTCAACCTCGGCATGCTCTTCTAATGTACTGTAGTCGGGGTCGAACTCCCAAGTCTATTGTGCAACGTAATTGTTGGTGTTGGTAGGGGCCATCTCCTTGGGCAATCTTAAGCCTCCACATAGTAGCTCACTTTCTCTATCCTGATCAGTGATCACAACCCATATTATTTTTTAGAAAATGATAAGATAAAATTTATTAAAAAGGGAAGAAAAGTATGCAAGAGGTATACAAAAATTGAAACCCCATAGAAGCCCAAAATGAACCACTTACAACCTAAGCCCAAAGCTCAAGGGCCACAAAACAACACAATATGCACCAACAAGGAGATCTAAAACCAAACTCCTCAGCCTAGCCTAAAAGCTCAAAGCCTAAGAGACCTTCGAAAGAAGAAAGAGCAAACAGACCCTCAATTAATAGCCCAAGCTATTTCTTCTTCTACCCCTTCCCCTAATGCAACGGGCTCCTCGAGGAGGAGGGGTAACAACTGGTGGATCATAGCATTCCCTCAATAGTTTAGATTTCCTATTTCCGACCGGCAGAACTGACGGTGTAGAAGACACGTCTAACCAGGAATTTTTTGTCTCCAAATCTAATTCCGGTTCCGAGCTCCTTGCAAACTGAGGGTTATGATCCTTTACATCATGGACGAAAGAGGAGCTGATCCAATCTCGCAACTAAGGCTCTTGCTCTACAGAGAAGGAGAGGTCCTTTCCTATCGGGACCCATCCTTTACATTATGATTTAAGAAAAAGGCTTGCAAAAGGTTTTAATTCCTAGGACCCATCAGAGTAGAAAGTGGAACACTGCACCTTATAGCCAGGGGAGAGGTCATTTCCTGTCGGGTAGTGTTTGATCATTAAGGGCTAACAAGTTAAGTGTAAGAGACCATTTAGAGCTGTTTTACCTGATGGGCTATATCTCACTTAAGTCCATTGTCCTTATCCCTTCATAGGATGGTTGGACTCAATGACCATTTAGTCTAAATGTTGGGCCCATTAAGAGCCCATACTGATGGATTTAGGGGTTCATTATACTTGATAGTGAATTCGGCCAGGCTTTTTCACAAAAGTCGGGCCAAACCCATATGGGCTTATTTAAGGCCATTGTTGGGGTCCCAGGCCATACAAAGAGAACGATATGGGCTAGCAACTATCTAGGGTCATGAGCCACTTACTTAATGGGCCTAAAGCCCATGATTAATTAAATTAATCAAGTGGTCACACGACAGGTTAAGCAGTCATGTGGCATGGGCGAATATGGGTATGGATCAGCAATTAGGATAAAAGGATAAGTCTAATCCACTTAAAGAGTCCAAATCCAAATAAAGATTTGGATTAGGATCCTCTTAATTCAATTAGGAGTGTTGATCCTTAAGGCTTATAAAAGGACGAGGGTGAACTACTCTAGTTATCACATAAGCTCTCAGTTCTCTCCTTCTGCTCTTGCCACCCATAAACCCTAGTTCGACCTCAAGTTCTTAAACTGATAAAGATCAGTTCTAATTTCTGATTTTTTGCAAGAAAATATCATATTCAATTCGTGCTCACCATCCTTGCTCGATCTAAGATATTGGGTTACAGTTTTTGCTGAAAAAATGCGTTGCTGAATCGGCTTCAATTCAAGTTGCACCATCTTCAGTGGAAGTTGGTTTTGGTACACTCTTTGGGCGTGAACTATCACTTTGGGAGCTACACTTATGGATTCTGTATCAGGTATACTTCTCCCTTCTCTTTGGTTTTAGTTCTGGTCCGGTTCGATGCAAGAACGATCCTTCAAAAATGCAACTTTTCTAAAACTAGGAATACGATTCCCGGAAGGGTAAAAGAAAATTTTTGAAATTTTGCCCAACCATCTAGCATGGTTCGGCCATCCATATGATGGATTTCCCCTTCCTTCACCCATCTCTGCTAAACTCAGGCCTAGGTGAAGAATCATGGTGAGTAAAGAAGTCATTTGTTGTTTGCAAAGGTTTCTTAATTCCCTCCAACCTTTGCCAAACTGATTTGAGAGGGACGACTGCATACGGGAGTAAGGCACCATGGGCTTTACCATTAAAGCGGCCAAGTCCACCCCAACATTAACTTGGCTTTTAGTCGGGTTAAAGGATGTAATCAAGTTGATCCATAGACATCTACCCGTGCCCCAACTCGAAAAAACATTCGCTCCCACCTGCCCTCCTACAAAGAGCAGGAATCTCTTAAAATTTGAAACGCCCGCCGAACGCTGTGATGCGAAGAATGACGTCCCTGGTTTCCCCAGCGACTGGTCCACCATTGAAACCATCTCCATCATCGTGCCTATTGAAGTCTGCATCGCAACATGCTTCCTTCCTTCTGCAACGAATGGACTCTGATGATTGACCCCTACAACATCGTCCTCTGGCGCCGACAACCCCTGCAACACTTCCACTAACTCTTCTCTTTCACCTGTCATCGGAGGTTGACGAGACTTCCTTCTTTTCCTTCGTTTGCGATGCGCTCTCACGGGACAACTCGTAGAATCATGTCCCAGTGGAAACCCACCCCACTCTCTCTGCTTGTAATCCAGTTTCAAAAGGTTCGGTTTATTGAACCGAGGCAGAGCAGTCAACCTCAAGTTCGACTCCCATTCTTTGAAAACCAAGGTTCGACTAAACACCGAGGGCTCCTAGTCTTCAATGGCAACCCTCAACAGATACCTAGTACCTTCCACTTCTAGCTCAACACACTTGGGAATGCCACAAACCGCCTTGCTCCAAACGAGAAGATGGAGGGCCTCAAGGTTTTTCCAGGCTAGATTATCCGGATCAGTAGCATTGAAGCCGCCCATTGCGTCTCCTATCTTCTTGAAGACCGTCGAACACCAGACAGAGAGGGGAACGCCAAATACCCTGACCCACCACTTACCGTAACCTCCTCTCTACCTTTCCAAACATCCTTCCTGAGTCCAACAAGATAAGGTGAACCACATCTCGTTGAAGGTTTGAGCTCGGGAGTGGAAAGCACCGCAAGCTTCTTCTTGGGAGGCAAAAATTAGAAGACATTTACTCCCCTCAAGCCTTCGCATAGCCGGATTACACTGTTCCTCCACCGAAGAGAAATCCACCATTCAATCTCTTCCTTTAAGGGATAAACACCTAGAAACCTTAGGACTAGGCAACTTTGGAAGAAAGATTCACGGTCCCGAACTCTAACCTCAGTGGCCATAACTTTGATCACACCTCCAACCTCAACGATCACAACCCATATTATGAAACAAACACTATAGGAAAAATCGACTTTAGCAACGGATAAAACCGTTGCAAAAAGATACAAAAAACCGTTGCTAAAAGATATAGCAACAATTTAGCAACGCTTTTTTGTCAATGGCGGATATTGGCGTGGCTAAAGCCTATAGCCACGGATTTTGTACATTGTTGCTACAAATATACCTATAGCAACGGTTTAAATCGTTGCTAATAAAAAAAATATTGCAATGGATTTATTTGGTACCGTTGCTAAAAATTTCTATAGTAACGGTTTTATCTGTGGCTATAAAATATGAGCTATTGTTGAATAAATAGAAATAGCAACAGTTTTAAGTAAAACCATCGCTAAAAGTATTAGTCATTCTTATGTATTGCTACGGTTTTTTACATTAACAGTTGCTATAAAATTCTTATAGAAACGGTTAGGGGAAAAAACCGATGCTATAGACTGGTCATCACAAAATATAACCACATTTAAAGCCATTGTTGCATGGCACCTTTAGCAACGGTCGTCATAAACCGTTGCTAAAGGTTTGTTTCTCAATTGAATTTAAACGAATGCCATTACAAAAAAAAAAAAAATTAATTTCACCTATTCTTGTATAATAAAACCTATACAAACTTACACAAAACATTCATAGTAGTCTTTGTTCAACACACACTTTTAATAATTTTTTTTCATCACCAAAAAAAGAAAAGAGAATTAACAAAATTATCCTCATTGCATCTGAATAGTTGATTATATGCACGTGCATCACACTCATGACCTTCGCTTTGGATCATAAACTTTGGTCTGTCATGTTCAACAAAAATGAATACATAAGATTTTATGTCAATAATTAGATATGTAAATTAAATAATTAGAATTGATCATAACCTTCGCTCTGTTCCTGCACAGTGGTTTATTTTCTTCAAAGCACGATTGCTTCTATTTACTTTGCTAAATGTCTAATAAAGAAAAGTAAAGAAAAGTAAAGAAAACAATATATTAGTTAGTATATGTTTAAATAAGAAATCATTTTTAATGAATTTAATTTGCATACCTTAAATTTTTCTGATTGCCACATTTGAAGCAAATTTACCCATTGTTCTTTAACAACACGATCCGTTGGAGGAGTAAGTTGTTCTGCTATTGGAACTTCAGGCTTATAAAAATCCTGATATAGAATGCATTTCCATTGCTTCCATTTTGCATTTAGGACATTTAAACACCATTCTTTACGATCATCTGAAACATCAAACTTATCCTGCATTGCATATGTAAGAATGAGATTTTATATATCATAATCCATCACACATATTTGATTATTTGAAAAATGTTCAAATCCAAAATACAAATAGTGAATAAATTGAAAAGAATACCTGATAAAACCCGAAGCACGATCTTTAGTTGTATTCAATACTTTCTTCCAACTATCCACATCGACAGGTACAATATTTCCATTACATGCTATCGTGCCAATAAAATGAGACAATTTTCCATCTTCTGGTTGACCATACTTATTAAAAGATACAGAAATGTGCTCATTATCATTCATTTTATACACATCTTTACAAAAAGTGGGGCCTCTTGTTTTCTTGTGCTATGAAGACTCTATTTGTGGGGGTAATTGGTCTTCAGTTTCCTCCTGAGAATGATGAGAGGGCAAATGGTCTACTTGGGGTTGAGAAACTTGAGGGTGTTGCAAATGAAATTGCTGTGGTTGTGTTTCAGTCTCTTGTTCTTCAACTTCCCTATTTTATTGAGAATTTGGGACTTGCTGCACTTGATTTGTTTAAGATCATTTTCTTTTTGATGCCCTAGAAAAAAATCCAAGGGAATCAAAATCAGATGATGCAACAAAAAAGCTCATCTATGGTGTGGCCCTCCATATTCAATCAAAATCAGAAGGGGCAGAACCACAGTTTCCAATCAGCACATAAGACAACACAAGCCCGTTTGTGTTATTTAATGCGATTGGTGAGCAAATTAAATCTGACTTTTAATATATGGGGTCRGAAATTTGACTACATGAAGCTTATAAACGCCATAGGTGTTATCTTAAAATTAGAAATTCAGTTATTCCTTTTCTTAAAAAGCTAATTAAGGGGATACATAGTTTTCTGTTTCCAGAAAGGTTTTCATGCTTGACGCTAATTAAACAGATTTGATCACTTTTTTTTTCAATTCCTCATAAAGTCTTAAGTTTTGTGGTATGTTTGAAAAGCTGCACCAAGTCCCCAACAATTAATGGCAGTAGGCTGCCACATTAATCGAGTGACCTTCGACCTAGACCACTGTCCAAGTGGTTAGGGAACAGGTCAAACACCAAAATACATGGTTCTGTCATCATCTTCTCAGCTGTTGACCTATGGCTGGGGCTGAGGTTAGCTGTAATAGTGGTTAGGGTCAACCCATGCCCAACCTCTCTTTAATAAAAGAAAGGTTTACCAATTGTCAAACCCATTAAATCTCTTGTTTGGAGAAAGGAATGGTTTAACTCAAACTGATCAGCAGCTGTGGCCAAA